TTAATAAAGTAGGATTTAGAGAGCGTTCTATTTAGCTATTTATGAAATCTAAGCAAGTTTCAAGACCTTTTTGCCTTGAAAATATTGTTAATTATGTGGGAGGTTGAACAAGAGGCTTATACCTGAAGCCGTCCAGAATTCATTTTCTTTTGTGTCGTGAATGAAGGCCATAAGATAAGATACAACTTTTTTGATCTCACAATGGAGACATTTACAGTCACATTTTGCATATATAGCAACCAGAAATGTGCAAATATGTTAAAAAAATGTCAAAAAAGTGACAATAGCATAAGAGACAATATCATCACAAGACAGGGATCTCAAAGTCCAATTTAAAACAGAAATGTGTTCATATTTATTTAAGAGAATGTACAAGAACAGAATAATTAATAACTATCTAAGCAACTATAAGTCGTATGGATGTAGGACCATACTGTTTACAATGGGTTTTGGTGACTGGGAAAGGGGTTGGAGACACAGACTGTACGGAAAATTTCAACCCTCTAGCTCAATGACGCCCAAATGGGAAGTGCTCATGGACAAAGTTTTGCTCCGTCTTGCTCTGACTCCAATGATATGTATTAGTCTTATATTAGGTTGTTCTAAACCATGCAAGTCTTTCCAAGTAGATTTGATATTAAATATGCAGAGCCTCGTCAAACAGGAAGTCTATCCATGTATTTTTTAGCGGTTTAATATAATTTTATCACTGAATATATATAGTCCACTGCACTTCACATTTCTCTTGTTATAGGTTGTTATTACTGCATCTATGAGGGCCTTGGTTTCAGGGCATGTGGTGAAACTTGCTCACACCATTTCAGTCCGTGTAAAAAAACAGTCCTCAAACAGCTTATTCCAAAAGTCAATTTAGGACACGGGGAAAGTCCGGCAATGATCAGGGGACGAGGTCTTAATGGATGGTATTAAAGTGTTTGGCGTTATCCGAAGTTTGTTTGAAAGAAGGAAGCGAGTGGGAGTCTACGGAGGGATTGGAGCTAAAGCCAGAAGCGAAAGCTAGAGCTATCAGACAGAGCGAGGGAGGAGAGACAAGGCATCCCCAAGGAGGTATCAGTGGGTCCATCGATCAGTCCATCCAACCCCCTCCTCCAGCCTCGTCACGGGGCTTGGAGCCTTTTATACGGGGCAGGAGTACAAAGAGAGAGATGGAGAGAATGAGGAATAGGCTTTAATGCAGGCAGACGGCAGAAGACCATAATGAATACATGTACAGGAGACGAGGGGAGGAGAGGAGAGGGAGAGAATTGTGTCTGGGTTTGGCTTTTAAATAAGACTTTTGCATTGTGGTTGTGACTACGGCGGGGATGGACTATTATTACCGTAGTTGCTGTTATGCGGCTAAATGATTAAATATTCTAAAACAGGAAGTACCAAAGTATTCTCAACATCAGTTCACTTGTTATAGTCCTAGTTACACCGCAGAAACTGATGAGAAATTTGGAAAGATGTAGCTTAATTTGAGCAGATTTTCATTGCCTTAAAACAAGATTTGCCGATGGGAGACGCATAATTAAAAAGATGCAAGAAATGTCTCCCTTGGAATGAGAAAATAAAGCAATAGTTCTTGAAAAAAGACTAAATGGCTTTGTCCCATTGGTGAAATTGTTTTAAAACGGTCAGAATGTATTCAGATTAAAATAAAAACCATTTGATTCAAGCAATTACTACCCCATAATTTATCCTTTTTTGCAGTGTTATATGTTACAGTCCTATAGGACTGTAACGTATTATTGTCAATGACTGAATGTTGATGTTATTGAAATCAGATATTAATAAATACTAAAACAAGTATTGAAACAGGCACTACTTGTTGTAAGTATAGATACTCAGGTTTCAGGGCATTTGATGGAACTTGTACACTCTATTTCAGTCTGTGTGTAAGTGGTCCTCAAACGGCTTATTCCAAAAGTCTATTTAAGACGTGGGGAAAGTCCAGCAATGATCGGGAGACGAGGTTTTAATTCAGTGATATTGCCTCATTTCTCTTAAAAGGCACATCAAACAACATCTCAAGGCAAAATAAAGTACCACGGCCCTAAAACACTGCACTAGTCCGTCTGCATCCTCTGACACACATTTGTGAACCAGATTTGGTCCAGTTAAAGTGAACCAGACCATTTCAGAACAGCCACAATTCAATACGATTCTTAACATATTGTGAATGCGATACAGCAAATATTGTAATACAATTTTGCGATTTAGTGTGATTCTTGTATTATTCAAAGGCAAATAAGACTGCTCAACTCAAAAGTCACATTTATCATGGTCTGCACATTAACTGAAGTGCAAAAACGCTGTCCTTTGAAGAAGAAGAAGGTCCTTTATTCGTCCCACAATGGGGAAATTTCAGTTTCAAAGCAAAGTAGTAAGCAAAACAGAGAAAACGTGGAAGTGAAACACATAACTCTTTCATTCATTTTCAATACTTTGCTCTACTGTAGCGATTTAATTGTGTGCGCAAAATATCACAACACTGAAGAGAATATTTTTTTTCCCCCACCACTATATGACGGTTTGATATTCCGTAGCCTTTAACGTACTGATTTCACGCCACTAAAGCGGCCCACTCCTTTCTACAGTCTTAGATTTGCGAATTAAGATATTACAGTTGATGAAATTAGGTATTGTAGATTACCGGAAGGGGACTGTTAAGGACCACTTCACCTGCTCTTGTCCTGACTCCATTAGGCCAATGTCATTTCCAGAAGCATCAATCAGGGCTAATAATAACACTTTCATATCAGACAAAGCTCAGAGGCCGATAAATATTGAGTTGTCTGCAGAGGCTCACCACCAGAGGAGCCAGTCAGACCAGGGAAAACATGAATGAATGCTTTTGTTATTCCCACAGAGGGGAGATTACCGTTCGATGAAGAAGGAAGCATCAAGAGCGGACACAGAGAGAGGTACAGTACATACGTTTCACAAATAGACACATTACACATGTAGCAAAGTCAATTTTAGTGACCTCTCTCAAAACTTTACAGTGTATTTTTTTTATTTGTTTATGTAAGTGTTATGTGAATTACACAGTTATTACTGTATTTTTATTACAAGTTTTATTATTTTTATAATTGTTTTTTGTCCTTTGATTCGTTGTGCAGCTTTGGTCCTCCAGCCACTCCAGTGTTTATATTTCTTCTTCGTGTGTTCCCCGTTCCCCCACTATAAATTCGGGGTTTTCCCGCTGCCTCTTCCCTTTGAAAACCCGTGTCAGGGAAGAGGTCAGTCACTTTATGTTTTTATGTCTCAAAATGTCCATTTTAATTGTAATTTTGTTGTCATTTATGTTTTGTATGTCTTTTTAGTTTGGGCTGTGAGTGATGCAGAGGCACATGTTCATTGTTTTTGTTTTTTATTGACCAGGTATGTATATTGCCCCTTTGAAAACCCGTGTCAGGGAAGAGTTTGGGCTGTGAGTGATGCAGAGGCACATGTTCATTGTTTTTGTTTTTTATTGACCAAATAAAAGAACACCTCGTAAGCTTGTCTCCCGTGTGTTCCTCCGCACCACACAATCAAGTAAACACAACGCAGAGCGGAGAAAATCAGACCCGTTACATACACACCCTAACTGCTGGATCTTTTTGATTGGAGAAAACGGCTCAAAACTAATCAAAAGTAGAGAGAAATTTTGTCTGCCCAACACTGTAGATATGGATAATACCAAACAAAGAAATGTGAATGAAGGAATCTGGATGAGGCATAAACTCCAAGCTTGACTATTGAATGATGTCACCTAAGACATTCATACCTCCCATCCGTATCCACACTACTGTATTTTTAGTTAATATAAAGTTTATAGTGTTTTTAATTGATTGTTGAGTGATTGTTATCCATCCTTTTCCTTTTACATTTGTCTCCTGTAGGTTAGACAACTGTAAAGGCCTGCTTACTGGTCCCCCCCAAGCTCTGAAACAATAGTGTATATACAAAGCGCTGCAGCTCAAGTCCTGACTAGAACCAGGAAGTAGGTCCACATTAGCCCAGGTCTCAGGTCTCAGCTCTGTTTGTTACAAGTCTCTCTATGGCCTCGCACCAAAGTACATCTGTGACATGTTAGTCCCATATGAACCAACTCGGCCTCCTTCTGGGACGCTGAGGAGCCTCCTAATAGGACTCGGAGGAGCACAGGGACTGACCTCCTGCCGGTGCCCAGAGTCAAAGCGAAATATGTAGAAGCAGCATTTCAGATTTATGTAGCTGAAAATCTGGAACAGACTTCCTGAAAATGTGAGACAGGCTTAAACTCTGTCACTGTGCAAACACTGTGATTATTCATGAACTGTGCTATAAAAATAAACTCGCCTTGCGTCTAAAAGATGTATATTATTGCAGCCGTAATGGCGGTCCTCATTTCTCATCATTCTGAAACACATGCATGTTTCTCTCCTGAAAGATGCAGTTCTTTAATATCTTTGCACAAAAGGATGTGGGTGGTCTTGGTGTTAAAACAGACGGAATCCAGCGTGGGTGAGAGCGGAGAAACTGCTGTACTCGTACTTGTGCCCTGCTGGGGTGTGTGTGTGTGTGTGTGTGTGTACCCTGCTTGTGTGTGTGTGTGCCTGTGGTGTTTGCTGTGTGTGTATGTGTGCCTGTGGTGTGTGTGCACGTCCTGCTGGTGGGTGTGCGTGTATGTGTGCCTGTGGTGTGTGCATGTGTGTGCTTATGTGTGTGCGTGTGTGTCTGTGTGTGTGTGTGTGTGTGTGTGTGTGTGTGTGTGTGTGTGTGTGTATGTATGTGTGTGTGTGTGTGTGTGTGTGTGTGTGTGTGTGTGTGTGTGTGTGTGTGTGCATTCTGCTAGTGTATGTGATGTATGTGTGTGGATGAGGGATAGGTGTTGTTTGTACCGTGGCTGTGTGTCTGTGTATGTGCATATGTGTGTATATGTATGTGTGTTTATGTGTGTACTGTGTGTGTGTGTACCGTGGCAGTGTGTGTGTGTGTGTGTGGGTGTGCATATATGTGTGTGTGTGTACCGTGGCAGGTGAAGCAGTGGACATGGAAGTGTGAGGACTTGACCCGGACCACCTCCCCCCGACAGGGCTCCCCACAGCGGGCACACACGATGGGGGAGACACTGGAGCTGGAGGCTGGAGAGGCGCTGCTGCTGGTCCCTCCATACAGGCCCGGCTGGTACTGAACTGGGGAAACAAGTATTACTGTCAATTATTTTCTTTAAACGCTTATTAATAACAGAAAAAGCAATGATCATTGTTGCATTTCACAGTTTACGGCGACTACTGCAACACACAATTGGAAAAATATCAAAAATCTATGAGAATATTGACGTTTTTCTAATGACATGAAACCTTTTATATTGACACAGTGTCACATGGCCGGAACAACAAAATTAAATTCAATATTGTGATCAATCAAATCTATAAGTAAGTGGAGTGGCTTACATTGACATAGCAAAATGTTTATTGGAATGATGCCTTTTACAAGCTGTAATGACACACATAGATTATTGTGGATGTTGAAGGCCAAATATCGGTGGCTTTAGTGGCTGTTCAGAGCAGAGATCAGAAGCAAATGCAAAAAAATTAACAAGTCTGAGTCTGAAAAATATAGGTATGTAAAGCCCTTATTATAAGAGTGCCAGCAGCAATCGCTCCAAAGCGGAAGCGGGAACCCACTTCTGTGGGAATTTGAATTCCACATGTTTCCACATCAGTGTTTGTCCAGAAGAGAACAAAGTTTTTCAAGAGTTCCAGTGGGTGAGAACATAAAGATCCACTGAGGTGCTTTGTGGGGATACAGAGCGTATTATCCAGGCAAAGATTATGGTAAAGCTGGTAGACCCTGAGAGAGTCTCTCTATTATGATGACACAGAGACTTAACATCCATAGTAACAAGCAGAGGCTCACCACCCTCCTTCCATTATTGATAAAAGAAACGTGTGTATAATCCTTGTAGAAAATGTTGCTAAAGATCTCGTGAAGGGCTTCAAGAAGAAACCCATGTAATTTTTTCGCAGGTTAAGCCAGATTCTTTATGCCTCTATACCCTGGAATAAACACAAAAGATCAAATGTTTTATTAAAAACAGCCCTAGGCCCTCAATGATCAGCTGAAAGAGGAAATAAAGGCCAAAACTGCAGCACAGCAAGAGGCGGTGCAGCTGCAGAAACAGAGGGACAAGCTTCAAGCAAAACTGGGGACTCTCACATGTGTCCTGGACCAAAAGAGGCATGCAAACCAAGAGGCCATGAAGAAGAATAAGGCCATCAACAATCAGGTGAAAGAGGAGGCAAAGGCCAAAACTGCGGCACAGAAAGACGTGGAGCAGCTACAGAGAGAGAGAGACAATCTTCAAACTAAAGTGTTGTCTCTCACAGCCGCCCTGGACCAAGAGAGTCATGAAAAGGAACAACTGCAGACCAAAGTGCAGGAGAAGGAGAGGACAATAGACTCTCTCACAGCCGATGTTTCATCTTTAAGATTTGCTTCGAACAAGGAGAAAACAAAGATCAGCGCTTCAAGTCAGAAACAAATAGACAGTCTACAAAAGACAGTTCTAAAAACTGAACAGGAGATGACATGCCTGAAGGAAACCCATGAAAAACAGATGTGGACAATGAAGTTAAAGGTGCAGGAGATATCAGAGGCTCTGAACACTTCAAAGAGCAACAACTCTGCTCTGAAGAAAAGGGTGAAGGGGTGGAGAAAGTGGTCGCTCTGGAGAGGAGCAAAGGTCCATCCTATGAGTGTTGCGTCTGTTTAAAATGTTATAGGCATGTGTAGATTTGTATCTTGTCAAACCAGACTTGGCTTGAGGAGGTATATTTCAGCTCCCTATGACATCAGATGTTCAGTCATGTGTCCATCAGATGTTCAGTCTGGTGGACACATGGCTAACACCAAGCCTAACTGTGGTTAGGATTAATTTAAAATGTGTAGATTTGTATCTTGTCAAACCATGACTTGGCTCGATGAGGTATATTTCATTTACTTGATGATTAATTAATAGGCCTTCTGCATGGAACAAGCCATCCCGGAGATTTCTTTTGTTCTTGTGGAGAACTGTGTAAATGTTTATTTATTTATTTATTTGAACAGTATTAATACTGCACAAAAGGAGTGGGCTGAAGCAAAAGCTTATTAGCACCGCACCCCAAAGCTAATTACAATCGAAATTTACATATTGAATATAGTTCAGAACAGGGATAAAAGGCACACAAGAGCTACATCTGCTCATACTGAACAACAGAACAATCACAATCAATTTATCAATTTACAGAGTAAAGAATATGTCATGACATTAACTTTGACTTTACTTACCAGAGAGAGACCAGAAGGACTCACTGACAAAAGGACAAAATAGATTTTAAGTTTATGTTTCAAGGCAGTTTCAATATACTTTGAACTGTTCTTAATCTTATTACCAGAGTGAGACACAACAACAGTCTGGTTAAGACAGATCTCCACAAAGCAAGAGACACAATATCACCATATTATTATTTTAAATATACTGACAGCAAGTTACTGTGAACAAATTAAACCTATGTCGCTCAAAAAAAAAAGAGATGTTGCAGCTAGAAAGCAGAATATTTCTTTATATTTATTTATTTATTATTATTATTATTTTTGTATTTTATTTAATTTATTTTTTTTTATTTTTTTTTTCAGAGTAGGCAGTGACCCTATGTAGTGTTGTGCGATAAAAAGCCAGGGTGTAAAGCCAGTTGGAGACGGCAGTGACTCCTCACCAACAGACCCCACCCAGCTGCCCTATCAGCTGCTCTTGTAAATGTAAACTTTAAATGTTCTTGTCTTTCTATACTGAGTGATGCATTAAAAGATGTGTGATCCCTTGGGAGGAGGTACCTCTCAACGGATGCACAGCTCGCCCTATTTCTCCTTACTGGAATTTGAACAAAATAAATAACTTATGTTCCAAGCAGCAACACTCAATTTGAACAATAGCTATTCATTGATTGCACTGCACCCCCTAGTGGTGACCCAATATTTCTCTATATTTTTCAAAGATCTTTTGTTTGTATTTATACTTGAACACAACAATGTGAATCTGATTTGTTACTTGCTTCTACTCTCCCTGTTTTCAGAAGATTATCTGTTATATTTATTAATTTATTTAAGAACAAAACCATTATCCAAATCTCCACTTCTTATGACTTCACCTCTCTCCATATTTCCCCATATTCTCACGACCAACTCCAATTCCACTCCCTGCCTCCTCCCGCTCCCTGACCAAGACACAATTTCAACAAATGTTTGAACCGTACTCCATTGCTCTGTTCACATATGCTTTTAATTTCTCATGGCATTGGGTGAAACGTCACTTCCTTCAAAATAGATCTGATCATTTTAGGCGGAACGTGGTTAGCATTTGTGCTTCACAGCAAAAAATACCTTTCTGTGTGGAGTTTGCATGTTCTCCCAGTGTCTCCGTAGGTTTCCTCCAGGTGCCCCAGTTTCCCCTACAACTAAAAACATGTGCAATAAGTCTGGCAATTTGCCTCCTGTAGGCCGGCCCAGGAGTGAGACAAATGTCCACAATTGTAAAGCGCTTTTTGACTCTGGTCTGTGAAAGGCGCTTTATAAATAGAGATGACTTACAATATATAACTAAAATATGACTCAACTGTAGTGAAGTATTTCTTTCATTTAATTTTTTTCGCTCTGGGCTGCTCCCTGGACTCTGTGGAGGAGGTGAGGGACAGGAGGCCCCTGGACTCTGTGGAGGAGGTGAGGGACAGGAGGCCCCTAGACTCTGTGGAGGAGGTGAGGGACAGGAGGCCCCTGGACTCTGTGGAGGAGGTGAGGGACAGGAGGGTGCTGGTCAAAGTCACCTCCATCATGGACAACACCTCTCACCCACTGCACAGGACTGTAGAGGAGCTCCTTCAGTGGAAGACTGAGACACCCTCAGTGCAAGAAGGAGCGCCACTGCAGGGCCTTCATCCTCACCGCTGTCATACTGTACAATGAGTCACTTTAAGTCATGCAGTAGGACTGCAAAACCTGCATTGTTATTGCCACTTTTTATTGTACATAATATATCCTGCACAGACTATATTTTTAACCTTTAACAAGTTGAACACTTCTGTCTTTTGCACAATCTGAGTGATTCTATCTATGCCAAATGTGATGTGTAAATTTCTCCGGTGTCTGATCAATAACGTCTATCTCATCTGATCATGTAATATTCATGCAATAATGTATAGAATTCTTCATAAATACTGCATTTTTTTACAAGGACTTCCTTCAGTGGAATTTAATGTTCATTCTTTACCTTGTGATTTTTTACAATATAACACAGTAGTTTTGTAGCTAGCATAAGCTAACTGTTATAGATTGGGCTAGTGTAGGTTAGACCTGACCGGGAGGGTCCAGTGGATTGTACAGAAGGGCACGCAGCAGGACTAGACTGTTTGCCCCGATACCATCTGGAAGACATCATTGTCTTCACAAGGAGAAGAAGGGGCACTTCCTGAATGTGTATTGTCACTTTGGCCTGTGTCAAATAAATGTAATGCTCTCGACACTCTCTGTTTTCAAATCACAGTCCAAAATCTAGATAAACTTATTGAAAAGAAATATGTAGATAGCAAGTTTTAATGGACGACACCCATAGATCATTGTTATATGTTCAGTACATTTTGAATGAAAGTCTGGTGAAAGTGGCCCTCTCTAGATTGTAATACAAGCATGTCCATACTCAGGCCTGAGGGCCAATTGCGGCCCGCTTTGTCCCTAAATGTGGCCCTATGCTTACCAAATGACATTGAGATTATAAACACAAGTTCATAGTGTGATCCATCCAACCTTTTGAATCCATTTATTAGTGTGCACATAATTAATTTATTTTTCATTATGGCTTATCAGATAACCTCAGCTCTCACAGATGTGTATATATGTATGAATGGTCATGTTATACCTCATTTAGACCAATTCTAGCCAAAATAGTTTTACAATCCGTGTTGTCGGCCCCTGGACAAGTCTCCTGAACTAAAGTGGCCCTTTTAATTCAAAGTTTGGACACGCCTGCTGTAATGTATCAAGAGATATGATAAGCGGTCACTTAATTTTAGGGTGGAAAATTGGCAATGGACAGTATTAGAATTAATCATTTAGATCAAGATTGAAATGACCAATGTGGTAATAAGGGCTTTACATACCTATATTTTTCAGACTCAGACTTGTTAATTTTTTTGCATTTGCTTCTGATCTCTGCTCTGAACAGCCACTAAAGCCACTTATTTTTGGCCTTCTTAAATAGGTTCTCACCCCCGCTCCTCAGAGCTTATGTCACTCACATTTTCTTTTCAAATCTCCCTCCACATGGGCGTAGCCTTGAGGACTAAAGGGGACAGGCGGGGGGGAAATGTTGGGCGGGTCTAGACTGTGATTGACACTTGACATCAGCATTGGCTCTGTCAAAGATGTAGAGAGTGATCAGACACCAGCTCTAATGATTCTGTGCGGTCTTAGGAGGTGGAGGATTTCTCTTGAGAGAGAGGAGGCAGACGGCGGCCCTATCAATTTGAGCGGCTAGCTTGCGAGTTAGCGCCGCTAGCGGCTAACGAGCTAGCGGCCACCGGCAGCTGCCTCTGCAGCAGAGCAGGATTGCAACAACACATCATCAGTAGGGTAAAACTAACCTGTCTCAGAGGCAGCTGACTGCCACAGAATGGGGCCTGTTTCTGAATATCGATTTGAGTGGAATAAAAAGTACAAACTGTCACAGGTAGCCTTCCCATAAGTAACTGCTTATGTTGCAGTGCTTTTCTTCACAGTTTTGTCTGTACATTTTATGTATGAACCCAGACCAAGATAAAGTATAATGTTGTGGGGGTCATATAGTTATAAAATTCTAAACTCTGCCACAGTAACCTGCGGCCACAAGGGAAATGATACCCCAATGTGCACAACAGAGACAGTAATTTAACACACGCTCAAACATGAAGTAGTATTTATTGTCCACAAGTACAATAAAGAATATACAATGGAATTGCATACGATATAGAACACTAGTAATATTAACAAAAGTCCTAAACTAAATTCAGCTAACTAATCTAACAAAAAAGCAAATAATGACTAAAACGCCAATATTCAACAACAACGCTATAAACACTAAATGTCCCTAAATGCTATTACTAATCGCAAACCTGACAATCGATGAAAATACTCTGTTATTCCTTCTCCAACTCGCTACGGAGGCGTGACCGAGACTGGGCCGTTTATATACGGGGCTGCTGACGTCAGGTCTTGCTTCAGAAGTCAGCTCTTGCCAGATTCAAAATTCAAATGTAGTAATACAGGTCGCCTGCAGACGGCGCCTCACAGACGGTTTTCGGCAGAAAGTTGATCTTTCAACTAAATTGCACCAAAGTGAAAAAATAATGACCAGGATATGTAGACAACACTATTGGACACTCATTTATACTGTTTATCAGCAAAAAAAGGTGGATTTCAGGGTGAGTTGTCCTTTAACATCCACAATAATCTATGTGTGTCATTCAGTGGGGGCAGGTCCCGGCTCAAAAGTGGCCTAAATGACGTGCGCTGACATGCTGCAATACCACCCCGGGCCGATGGGGGTGGACCCAGAAGAAGAATTAGCCAATGCTAACATATAGCATCGGCAGACCTCTCAAAAACGTCTTGTCAAGATGGTCCAAAAGTTGGCTCTTGGCCCAAAGCTCCGTTCCACATGTGTGTCAATGCTGAGAGGGGTGAATTTTTTTGGACCACTCTAGTTTACTTGCTGTGAATTTTTGAAGTCTCTCGTTGCAAATGAATGGAGCTTGCGCCGGCTGACGCACGCGCAATTGCGTTTTTTCACCATTTCGCAGCCATTTTGGATAGCTCCAGAAGAGCACTATTTTTGGCCCAATAGTTAGAACGACGGAGATAGGCGTGACTCTGTCCGTTATTATATACAGTCTATGGTGTCATTACAGCTTGTAAAAGGCATCATTCCAATAAACATTTTGCTACCAATGTAAGCTGCGTATAAAACCACTCCACTTACTTATTGTATGATTTGTATGATCATAATATCCTACTTTATTTATCAGGCGAATGGCATGTTTCTGTAATCATACAATAGAGTTGATTACAGTATTAAATATAGTTCCCCGTAGCTCCACACAATAAGTCATATATGAAAGAATCAAGGCACAGTAGATTATATGTAGTGGATTATCGGAGAGTAAATCTTTAGTTTTTGACAAAATTCCAATAGTTTGTGATATTTTTGTTTTCACATGGTCAATATGTTGTTTCCACATTAATCTGGAGTCAATAACCACTCCAAGAAATTTGGTGTGAAACACTCTTAAATCAAAACACCTGTTTTGATTTAAAACGCTACTCAAAAAGAAAGCGCTTTAGTACATGGAAGTAATGCCTTCAGTACAGAAAGGGTAGTAGGATCTGAAAGTAAAGTACTCATTCTTTTTTTTATTTAACCAATACTTTGTATATTCTGGATCATGAGGAAAAGCAAATGGGAAATCAGTTTCCTTCAACATCAATGGCGCTCCTCATTCAGGTGTTTAGAGAGCTAAACTATTAACTATTAGATTCTTATTTCTTGAAAATGGCAGCTGCTTTCTTGGCACCATGATGGGTGTAACTTTGCATAATGTTCCGGTAACTTTGGCAACCATTTCCATGGTAACAGTATTCCATTACGTCATTCCATGACATCACTCCATCTTGATAAGAATATCACACAAGTTATGCAGCACATAACTCCGAAGGACGTACAGGTTCAAGTATCCGACTCAGTATACACAGAGAACAAAGTAAGCCCTACATTACCACGAGAATCAGATATAAACAACATTATGTCTGTGGACCAGAAAGAAAACACGTTGCCTCCCCGAAGGCTCACAAAAGATCTGCTGAAACAAACCAAGGAGCTCAGAGATCAGTTAGAAGTAGAGAGGAAGGAACACCAGGCCTCCCAAAAGGCCCTGCAGCTTGAGAACCAGGTCTTAAGAGAGAGAATGAATGAGATGGTTAAAAATCATGTCCAACAGACGCTGGCATTAAAGAATCGCTGGCAAGCCAAGTGTGACAAACATGTAAAAAAGGAGAGAGATCATTGGGAAGAAAAAATTGAAGCCAAAGATGAATATATTCAGCGTCTAGAAGACCAACATTTCGCAGAAAATGAAGACCTATGCAATACGGCACAAATATACAAAGATCAGGTCCAGTCCCTTTTGAAGACCCTCAATCTGAGGATAGAGCAGAGCAACTCTCTGCAAAAGCTCCTGCAAGAGGAGCAGAACAAGAATGAGGCCCTCAATGATCAGCTGAAAGAGGAAATAAAGGCCAAAACTGCAGCACAGCAAGAGGCGGTGCAGCTGCAGAAACAGAGGGACAAGCTTCAAGCAAAACTGGGGACTCTCACATGTGTCCTGGACCAAAAGAGGCATGCAAACCAAGAGGCCATGAAGAAGAATAAGGCCATCAACAATCAGGTGAAAGAGGAGGCAAAGGCCAAAACTGCGGCACAGAAAGACGTGGAGCAGCTACAGAGAGAGAGAGACAATCTTCAAACTAAAGTGTTGTCTCTCACAGCCGCCCTGGACCAAGAGAGTCATGAAAAGGAACAACTGCAGGCCAAAGTGCAGGAGAAGGAGAGGACAATAGACTCTCTCACAGCCGATGTTTCATCTTTAAGATTTGCTTCGAACAAGGAGAAAACAAAGATCAGCGCTTCAAGTCAGAAACAAATAGACAGTCTACAAAAGACAGTTCTAAAAACTGAACAGGAGATGACATGCCTGAAGGAAACCCATGAAAAACAGATGTGGACAATGAAGTTAAAGGTGCAGGAGATATCAGAGGCTCTGAACACTTCAAAGAGCAACAACTCTGCTCTGAAGCCAGAACATGAAGAGCTTCAGGAAACCACGGAAAGGAAACAGGAGAAAAGGGTGAAGTGGTGGAGAAAGTGGTCGTTCTGGAGAGGAGCACAGGTCCATCCTATGAGTGTTGCGTCTGTTTAAAATGTTATAGGCATGTGTAGATTTGTATCTTGTCAAACCAGACTTGGCTTGAGGAGGTATATTTCAGCTCCCTATGACATCAGATGTTCAGTCATGTGTCCATCAGATGTTCAGTCTGGTGGACACATGGCTAACACCAAGCCTAACTGTGGTTAGGATTAATTTAAAATGTGTAGATTTGTATCTTGTCAAACCATGACTTGGCTCGATGAGGTATATTTCATTTACTTGATGATTAATTAATAGGCCTTCTGCATGGAACAAGCCATCCCGGAGATTTCTTTTGTTCTTGTGGAGAACTGTGTAAATGTGAATCTGATTTGTTACTTGCTTCTACTCTCCCTGTTTTCAGAAGATTATCTGTTATATTTATTAATTACTATTAATTTATTAATTATTTATTTAAGAACAAAACCATTATCCAACTCTCCACTTCTTATGACTTCACCTCTCTCCATATTTCCCCATATTCTCACGACCAACTCCAATTCCACTCCCTGCCTCCTCCCGCTCCCTGACCAAGACACAATTTCAACAAATGTTTGAACCGTACTCCATTGCTCTGTTCACATATGCTTTTAATTTCTCATGGCATTGGGTGAAACGTCACTTCCTTCAAAATAGATCTGATCATTTTAGGCGGAACGTGGTTAGCATTTGTGCTTCACAGCAAAAAATACCTTTCTGTGTGGAGTTTGCATGTTCTCCCAGTGTCTCCGTAGGTTTCCTCCAGGTGCCCCAGTTTCCCCTACAACTAAAAACATGTGCAATAAGTCTGGCAATTTGCCTCCTGTAGGCCGGCCCAGGAGTGAGACAAATGTCCACAATTGTAAAGCGCTTTTTGACTCTGGTCTGTGAAAGGCGCTTTATAAATAGAGATGACTTACAATATATAACTAAAATATGACTCAACTGTAGTGAAGTATTTCTTTCATTTAATTTTTTTCGCTCTGGGCTGCTCCCTGGACTCTGTGGAGGAGGTGAGGGACAGGAGGCCCCTGGACTCTGTGGAGGAGGTGAGGGACAGGAGGCCCCTAGACTCTGTGGAGGAGGTGAGGGACAGGAGGCCCCTGGACTCTGTGGAGGAGGTGAGGGACAGGAGGGTGCTGGTCAAAGTCACCTCCATCATGAACAACACCTCTCACCCACTGCACAGGACTGTAGAGGAGCTCCTTCAGTGGAAGACTGAGACACCCTCAGTGTAAGAAGGAGCGCCACTGCAGGGCCTTCATCCTCACCGCTGTCATACTGTACAATGAGTCACTTTAAGTCATGCAGTAGGACTGCAAAACCTGCATTGTTATTGCCACTTTTTATTGTACATAATATATCCTGCACAGACTATATTTTTAACCTTTAACAAGTTGAACACTTCTGTCTTTTGCACAATCTGAGTGATTCTATCTATGCCAAATGTGATGTGTAAATTTCTCCGGTGTCTGATCAATAACGTCTATCTCATCTGATCATGTAATATTCATGCAATAATGTATAGAAATCTTCATAAATACTACATTTTTTCACTTAAATTCCACTGAAGGACTTCCTTCAGTGGAATTTAATGTTCATTCTTTACCTTGTGATTTTTTACAATATAACACAGTAGTTTTGTAGCTAGCATAAGCTAACTGTTATAGATTGGGCTAGTGTAGGTTAGACCTGACCGGGAGGGTCCAGTGGATTGTACAGAAGGGCACGCAGCAGGACTAGACTGTTTGCCCCGATACCATCTGGAAGACATCATTGTCTTCACAAGGAGAAGAAGGGGCACTTCCTGAATGTGTATTGTCACTTTGGCCTGTGTCAAATAAATGTAATACTCTCTACACTCTGTCTGTTTTCAAATCACAGTCCAAATTTTAGATATACTTATTGAAAAGAAATATGTAGATAGAAAGTTTTAAAGAGGATTCTTTACAGATTCACCTACATACATTTAGCTTTGTAGATATGCTGTCTATACTTGGCATAATTAAAACATACTCCTCATATTTGACATTTGATGACTATTTGATCCTTAATTACTAAAAACTCAACAGTAACATGTGTTTAAAGCAGAAGTAAGCAATTTTTGGGTGTTAATATACATCTTAAATATTTATATCTTCTAATAGCCATCACTTATATAGAGTGTTTGTACCTAAAAGTCCCAGTCTTCTCCCATTCTTTATTGAAGAAAACCTCGTATCCTACACGTTTAATCCTATCAAGAGAGAGAACCGAAAAAGGGGGTTTCTCTCTCTGCGTGCACGCGCACTCTTCAAAACAAACATGGGGGAGAAGGAAAAGCCGCCTCCAGCGCTGCTGCAGACTAAATACCATGGATCTATTAAATACAGGCAAAACACCAGAAACAGGGGAACGATAAAAAGTAGGAGCAACATGGCAACAGGAGCTGCATTCATGTTGGCGACCTCTAGCTCGGTGGATTACTCATGGATGTAAAAACCCACCAGCCTCTCTCCGACTGAACAGGTGAGCATTTTACTCAGTGACGGCAGTAGTAGTTGTATTTTTATACATATTGTTGCCTGAGACTGTAATGCGGGTTTTCACCAAGTTAGCTAGTTAAAAATCCCCAGCTGTTATAGAAATACGGCCGCATTTTGTGGCAATAACCGCGCGTTACCTTGGGTTAGCTTTGAGAAACAACAACAGACAACATTATATCGAAGCCTTATCCCGGCCTTAGCCATCCGTAAACTCCGGTAAATTATTAGTTCCCCACATGTACAAAATTAAATGAGTACCATTTGGTAAGACCATATCACCAGAGTTCCACCGTTCGCTGTTAGCATTAGCTGTTAGCATTAGCTGTCTGTAGTTGTGAATATGATGTGGCTGCTACGATCACTTCTGATCTGTATGAATTGTTTGTTTTTGCCAAGAAACATAGTTGCTTGCACTATATATATGTAGGTCTGCATTTCATTCTTCAATGACTAAGTTTTGCAACTTGTACTCTGGATATTAGTTTTATTGTTATAAAAACAATAACTCTCTACCTCAAATCTAACTTCCGTGACCACTACATACATTTTTATTATTATGTATTGAGAATAAGTAAGAAAAGTCTTACTGACTACTACCAAATAAATTATGAGCATGATATAATATAGACATTGTAATAATTTACATGTGTATCTTTTCCAGTATGGCCTAAATGAATTGGAATGAGGTCTTCAATGTACAAGAGTTCAACAGCCTCCATAATGCAACGTAAGTAACTATTAAAAAAAAAAAAAAGCCATAACGACTAGATACCTTTCTGCTGAAGTATTAAACGCCTCTTCTTTCTCTAGTATTGACTGGGAAGACGAGACTTTGCTTCCAGAATTAGAAGATCGGCCATTGTCATCTTCTGAGGAAGACTTTACACCCCACATTTGTAATGTACAGTGCCTTGCGAAAGTATTCGGCCCCCTTGAACCTTTCAACATTTCGCCACATTTCAGGCTTCAAACATAAAGATATAACATTTTATTTTTTTGTTATGAATCAACAACAAGTGGGACACAATCGTGAAGTGGAACGAAATTTATTGGATTATTTAAACTTTTTTAACAAATAAAAAACCGAAAAGTGGGGCGTGCAATATTATTCGGCCCCTTTACCTTCAGTGGAGCAAACTCAGTCCAGAAGTTCAGTGAGGATCTTTGAATGATCCAATGTTGTCCTAAATGACTGATGATGATAAATAGAATGCACCTGTGTGTAATCAAGTCTCCGTATAAATGCACCTGCTCTTTGATAGTCTCAGGGTTCTGTTTAAAGCACAGAGAGAACCATGAAGACAAAGGAACACACCAGGCAGGTCCGAGATACTGTTGTGGAGAAGTTTAAAGCCGGATTTGGATACAAAAAGATTTCCCAAGCTTTAAACATCTCAAGGAGCACTGTGCAAGCAATTATATTGAAATGGAAGGAGTATCAGACCACTGCAAATCTACCAAGACCCGGCCGTCCCTCCAAACTTTCATCTCAAACAAGGAGAAGACTGATCAGAGATGCTGCCAAGAGGCCCATGATCACTCTGGATGAACTGCAGATAACTACAGCTGAGGTGGGAGAGTCTGTCCATAGGACAACAATCAGTTGTGCACTGCACAAATCTGGTCTTTATGGAAGAGTGGCAAGAAGAAAGCCATTTCTCAAAGATATCCATAAAAAGTCCCGTTAAAAGTTTGCCACAAGCCACCAGGGAGACACACCAAACATGTGGAAGAAGGTGCTCTGTTCAGATGAAAGCAAAATCGAACTTTTTGGCCACAATGTAAAACGATATGTTTGGCGTAAAAGCAACACAGCTCATCACCCTGAACACACCATCCCCACTGTCAAACATGGTGGTGGCAGCTTCATGGTTTGGGCCTGCTTTTCTTCAGCAGGGACAGGGAAGATGGCTAAAATTGATGGGAAGATGGATGGAGCCAAATACAGGACCATTCTGGAAGAAAACTTGTTGGAGTCTGCAAAAGACCTGAGACTGGGACGGAGATTTATCTTCCAACAGGACAATGATCCAAAACATAAAGCCAAATCTACAATGGAATGGTTCACAAATAGACGTATCCAGGTGTTAGAATGGCCAAGTCAAAGTCCAGACCTGAATCCAATCGAGAATCTGTGGAAAGAGCTGAAGACTGCTGTTCACAAACGCTCTCCATCCAACCTCACTGAGCTCGAGCTGTTTTGCAAGGAAGAATGGGCAAGAATTCCAGTCTCTCGATGTGCAAAACTGATAGAGACATACCCCAAGCGACTTGCAGCTGCAATTGCAGCAAAAGGTGGCGCTACAAAGTATTAGCGCAAGGGGGCCGAATAATATTGCACGCCCCACTTTTCAGTTTTTTATTTGTTAGAAAAAATTAAATTATCCAATACATTTTGTTCCACTTCACGATTGTGTCCCACTTGTTGTTGATTCTTGACAAAAATTTGTATTTTTATATCTTTATGTTTGAAGCCTGAAGTGTGGCAAAATGTTGAAAGGTTCAAGG